ATGCTTGGAATAACATCCAAGCATTTAAAGAGGTTGCCAAAGTGTCATATTTGTCAGCTTGCTTCGATAAACCTCTTTCTCTAATTGTACTTTAAATTTCTCAATTTCAATTTCAACTTCGATCTCTACTGCAATTCCAAATTCAAATTCAAATGTACTTCAAATCTATTTTGTCGCTTTTTTTTCAACTGAAATTAATTTTTCCACTAAAAGCAAGGTACATCTTAGATATGATTAGACATCTTAGATAAGAGGACAATCTTACAATTTTTAGTCTTTCAATATGATCCACTAGGATTTCTGGTTTCTATCATGATAAAAAATCAAATTATTCCTACAACGTTTATGGCGAAACGACAACACATGGGATCAAGTTATAAATGATGATGATAAAAAATATTAATATCTCTTATACGTGATTGGCCAATGAATTTAAAAGAATTGCCAGGGTGTGTAGCTCTACTATTGAGGTATCCGGAATTTCATGTTTTAATGGATGCTTCAAATGCAGCATATTTGGTGGCACTATATGTAGTGTTTCCTGAAACGTTTGAATCATAACCGCTAAATCTTGATGTTTGTTAAATGTTGGATTGCCCCAATGATGAGAACAACCATATGGGCTTTCAAGTCTGTAAAGCTCATATCCAGAAGAGAATATCTTGGCTACTACCACTGTCTTAAGAATCTTAAATTACATCGGCGATAATAAAGTGGTTGAATGGATGCTACTAAAACAAGCACAGTCGGTTAATATTACCGAAGAGGAAATAAGCAAATGAAATTTATATTACGACCAAATCAAAAACTTATGAAAAGCCAAAGGTCGATTGAAAAACTCAGAACTGGACGACGACAATAAGTATCCAACTAATTTCCAAAAGACCATCCTAAACAGAGCTTCTTATCCAATGAAAACATGAAGAATGATACCATGCAAGAACTACTTATACTTTATCGGTTTTGAGGCGTAGATTCTGGATCCCAAAAGAAGGAAGAGAAGTTAAAAGAGTTTTAATCAATGCATGGCCTGTAAACGGAATGTGAAATTGGAATGTGAAACCATTTAGGCTATCACCTATGCCAATTTTTCCTGAATCGCATGTCAAACGTCCCAAGACCTTCTAAACAAGTTAGATTAGACTATCTAGGTTCTCTTTCTGTCAAAATTGATACTGACGTTATCAAAAGATGAATCGCTCTTTTTACCCGCTTCACAATCAGAGCAACACATCTGGAAGTGGTTGAGAACTTATCCGCCGAAAGCTTTATGCATGTACTAAGGAGATTTGTAGCTCGGCATGGATATTCTAAATTGGTTTTGAGCAACAACGCAGTCGATTGCAATTGGTGTTCAAGACCATTATGCAAAGGAATTCGGATTTCTTGGCAAAGAAAGGGATGATGTGGGGGGATACAATACCTAAAGCTTCATGGGAAGGAGTCGTTTATGAAAAAATAGCTGGTCTCTCACAAAAAGACCTTAAGGCGAGTCATAGGCAGAAAACTTCATTGGGAAAGAGAGTTAATTACCCTAATAATGAAGATAAAGAATATTCTCAATGTTCTCGATATCCTCAATATTCCATCAACTTACATCAGCTTTGACGACTATCAATTAATATGGCCATCAGATTTCATTTCGCCAAATGCCATCTACAAATATCGTCTGATGATGATAATAATCAAGAAGAATGCAATATCAGTACCAAGGAGAAGCTCGTCAAGTATTCGAACAATACTCTGAAAACTTTGGACATGTTCTGGGACATTTGGAGAAATAATATCTAATTAGCCTAAGAGAACGTACTCGTCGTGAAGCGAGTTCCTCTCAATAATGAAGTCGTGTTGCTAAATAAATCTGAAATTCTACGCGGTGATTGGAAACTAGCAAAGACAGGAAGGAAAAGATGGAGAAATACGAAGTGCTACAATAGAAATGCCAGGTGGGAAATTACTTAATAGACCAATCAATATGCTCTGTCCTTTAGGAACAACTGAAGGAAATTCAGAAACTTCATCAACAGCAAAAGAATCTGAACAATTAGGAAAGCTAATTGCCTCACGAACTAAATGATCCACAAAAGGATGAATTCATCAAGTGACAGGCAAATCTAATCCAATCTTAAAAGGCGCAATTTCATTGGCAATGATTACAATGCTAATACAGCAAGCATCAACTATAAAAACTCGCAAATGGTTTTCTGGTATTCTCTCTAATATATCAGAGAAGTGAGACTGCGAAAATAATATGAAACAGAATTTCATATCAGCGTAAATAGTTGCCTACACTCGAAACCCATGTACAAATACGTGCAGTAATATCACCCGCTCAGTACGCATGAAAGTCTTTTTATATTATCGCTATCGGTTGCTTCGGGTCAGACCGTTATTTCTGCAACAAACTCGCATCTTTGCAAATCAGTTAATGATAAAAGATTAGGTGAAATTAATCTTAAATAAATTTCTCCCAATTAAATGAACCGATAACGATGCAAAATATTCGTATGAATGGTTTGGAACTCGATGTCATTCGGGAAAAAATTTCCTGCTACAAAAAGGAGTAATGCCCAAGATGATGGAAACCAACCCAGATCCAAACGAAGAAGTCGATCCCGGACATGTAAAACTTCAATACAATTTCGACAGCTTGCGAAAATGAACTTAACAAATAAAGATGGTATCGCAACAGCGTATCTCAACAAAATATGCTACCTTTACTGGAGTTGACATTTGACGATATTGCACAGTGATCTCCTCCAATCAAGTCATTCCATTTTATACCGTATGCTGTCGCATCGTAATGCTACACAGATAGCGTTCATTTTAATAATTTGTTTTGCTAATTTCAAACCGTTTCCTACATCCATATATATGAGGCTCTTATATGAGTCCTCCTTCTCCGTAAACACTTCTCACACTTAGATACTGTACCAGAATAAATCACTTTTCTGTGTACAAATCAATGCTTCAAGTGCTTCCGGCTTGATCGGAATCCGTTTGATGGGAATTTTGTCATCCTTCTCCATTTTATATTTACTGCAATGCGTCATGAAGCCACATAATATAAATGAGCATTAACGTCCTAACAGAACAAAAATATATTCAATAAATTAACAGATGCTTTGTTTCAAGCATTTTGTATTTTGTGAATGATATAATGATGCTGCTTTCGTCGAATGTTCTCAACAAATCGAATTTTTACTACCACCCGAATTGAAATTAGAATTTTGAATAATTCCAGCCATTAAAAGAAGTATTTACAGAAGGTTAAGTCGATTGACAACATGCAGGAACTATTTTATAATAAATTATAGTATGGCTGAAATAAATGTGCGTAGCTGACATATTATAACGACTAAAGATTCGTCCATTCTTATTTTCTGAGAAATCATTTCCGGTTATCCTTTTCCAACCACCTTTGCAAACAGGTAGTAATTCGTTCTTCATTTAATTCTTCCATCGATTTTTTTTTTGCTACCGACAATGACTTAAGTAAACACAAGAAAGCAAGTTTTTAGTTTTTGTTAGCACTTTAATTTCATTTCGATCGATGGCGCAAAATGCACAATATAGCCCAGTTCAAATTTCCTCAACAATCACTTGTGTGTTGGTCTTTAGTCACTGGATGTCATCATGACAAATACAGCTGATCAAAAGCCTTTCTCCGGGCTCTATTTTCAGTAAGTAAGCAGACTTAGACCAACAAACAACTTCGTTAACTCAGTAAAACATCTCACTTAGATCTCGTCTAATAATGTTTTTGCCATTTAAATTTCATCAAAAATCACAGTTGAAGAAAAAAGCGCAGATGAAGTGAAAGCGGAAGAACAAGTTTGCCATATTTCTGACTTGGTCGTACTTTTTTTTTAATTTTTTCCTTATATTTCTTTGCTTTTAAGGAATCGTTTTCTTCCATCTCTTTATTTCTTCCTTCGCATCGAATGTGTGTCGTCATCGGGAAGATGTAAAGGGATATGCTGAACAACTGGACTTCATCACAACAATTATTTGAATGTTTGTCCGGCTACTCATCATTTTACCTCTTTCCGGAAAACAAAAATTCAACTTTGAAACATCAAAAACTGTTTAATCCGTCGCAAATGCGAATCACGGTTCCTCGCAGAGTGCAATCATTGTTTTGTACGAATTAAATGAATTTTCCGGATCCTTTTATTTTCATTTCAGATGGACATTAGGTCAATAATTATTGTAGTGTGTTATCAACGGTATTGAATTGACATGCTGCTTTTATGAAATTTTTTATGAGCTCTGAAATGAGACAGTTTGTCTTATGCCAACTGTCAGTGGTTACAAATGGAATACATAGTCGGATCACTCACGATCGCTTCCTATTTCACTCTTTCCTCCTCTTGCTAACGAAATTATTAAATGATTCCATTCCATGAATAAAATTAAAAACGGTCGAGGGGCTTGTACATATCATAGATCCATTT